CCCTCTCACTGGCCGATCAGATTCTGGACGAGGGTTACTCGCTGGGCAAGTCACTAACCAGCAAGCACCTCGTCGAGCTGGCATCCAAGGGGGGACAGAAAAACGCCATCAACGTTGTTCTCACATCCGCTGATGTGGCAGTCGAGGGTTTCTGTATGAGCCGATGTGGCACTCACGGCTCCTCCTCTACAACCTCTCACGTGAAAGACGGAAAGAACTACAAATTCGCTTACATTTGGGTTGGTAACTCGGAAACCCAATGCCCTGGCCAATGTGCGTGGCCCTTCCACCAGCCTATTTATGGACCACAGAGCCCACCGTTGATTGCTCCCAACAACGATGTGGGACTGGACGGAATGGTTATCAACCTTGCCAGTCTCCTGGCCGGAACCGCCACGAACCCTTTCGGAAATGGCTACTTCCAGGGCCCTGCAGAGGCTCCACTGGAAGCGGCATCGGCGTGTCCTGGGGTTTATGGGAAAGGGGCTTACCCTGGTTATGCGGGTGAGTTGTTGGTTGATTCCACAACGGGTGGTAGCTACAATGTGAATGGTGGTAATGGGAGGAAGTACCTTGTTCCTGCTTTGTACGATCCTTCTACTTCGTCTTGCTCAACGCCCGTGTGAGGATTATGTTACTGCTGCCACTACCACCATGTTAGAATCACGGCCTAGGAGTTGTACTTGTACAAAACTTCAAATAAACATTTTGTAGGATTATTTCATTTATTTTTTTATATCTTCTGGATATGTACGCCGATTAAGGATATGTAGAGGCAAATGTACTACCGTTTGCTTTTTAATATTAATTATTATGTTACTCGACCAAAACCTCTGTGCTTGCATTCTTCTTTTTCTTGTCTTTCGAGTTTCAGCTTTACATTCAAATGATTCGCTGCCTCATTATTAAATATTAATGATAGTGGTTCTGAATGGTAGTGATGGTACTCAGAATATTAGGTATACTTGCCCAGTTCGTGGATTTGTTACGCTTACTGTTAACCCACCTACTACGGTTTGATCATTAGAATCAGCTTCAACCTTGTTACTGTTATTTATTATTAGTGTATGACCACATGAAACTTACACTATATTTGTTCTATAGTTATACAATTCAACTGAAACTAAATTAGTCTCAAGTTTTGTAGGCTTCAATTCACATTAAAAAATTTGTTAGTTCTATATATATGATTAAATGACGATATATGAACCTTTTATTACAATGGATAAAAGATGAGTAAAGATATTTTTTTTTCTCTGAAATTGGAAGACGTAATTATGGTAGTCTTTAAAATTAAAAAAATTGTAAAATTAGTTTTTAGATTGTCAAATGAAATCTTAAATTTGACAAAGTTGCGATTTTAAGTTCTGACTTTAATCATATGTTAATATTCTAACTTCATTTATTATCCTTAACAAGAGTAATTATATAATAAAAATAATAGTTGTTAAATAGAGTAGAGATATATATATAAAATTAATTCGTAATACTTGAAATTTGTAAAATATAGGAGATTTTGAAGAATAAAAAGTTAAAATGTCAAAAAAATAAAGCGTGTTAGCAAGATATCAATCTTTAACACATTCATCTGATTCATTAAAAATTATTAAAAGTTACAAAATTAGGAAAAAAAAATAGTCATTAAATAAAATATGAGACTCATTAAATTGTATTTTTTTAAACAAATTTCAACCAAATTAGAAAAAGTATATGTAAAAAGTATTTTTAAAAAAATATGGATTTGGGAAGAATTGATTGAGTTTTTTCTGAAAGTGAAAAAATGATGTATGTATAATTATTTGAATGTTGCTATGACTCCAAATTCCAATTTGAAAGTATAAAATAACAAAAAATTAAACACGAAAGTGTTAAAAAAAATTAAACATTTAGTAAAATCGAATGAAATTAAGTTATCTTTAAAAATTATTATATATAAAAAAATGAATAAATAATAATGACACAATACAAAAACGTTTGTTGTAAAAATAGATATTTATAATTTAATTTTGAGATTTCAATGAAATAAGATGTTATAATTTAAAAAATAAAAAAAGAATAAAAGAAATTAAAAATAAAAAAATGAGAAATTTAAAAGATAACATTTATTTATAATTTTACATTAACACTAATAAAAGTTCATGCATTAAAAAAACTAAACAATAATATATCATATTTTTCTCTTCACATTTAATATTATTGACTTATAAAAAAATTATTAATTATATGTTTATAGTTCATTTATTTTTCTTTCAAAGTCGTCGCACCAACCTGTACTTAAGATCATCATTGATCGGAGAAAATATATCACTATAATTTTAAAATGAAGGGTATAATTTGAATTTAAAGTTAATATTGGTAGTTTTGGAATATCGGACGTAAGTAGAATGATTTTATTTGCTAAAATGTTAAACAAATTAAGAGAAGGAGGCTATTTACTATTTAGCCATGAATACAGCTATGGACATAGGGTCATTACAATCCCTGATTGTGGAGATTGGGGAAGCTGATGCTTTATCTTTAAAGGGTTTAAAGAAAGGGGATTCAGGAACATACCGTTGAATGGTTCAAAATAAGATGCTCTCTCACCCAATAAATGGAAGAGAAGAGGATGCAGTTCTAGAGTTAATGCTGCCTCCCCATTTAGGATTGCAATTCAATTTGAAACTGTTAGGCACTAGCGATTGAACTTGCTGGTTGGTTTTTAGCTATTCAAGTAACATAATAATTCAAGTCTTACCACTAGCCCAATTTTAGTTTATCACACCAACACAAACATGCATCTCCAATTTGCCCACAATTGAGAAAATTAATTGATGATAACAAAGTTTTAACTTTTAACTTTAAAAATTATTCCCCCCAAAAAATAATGTATGTCAGTATGTGGACACGGTGCATATATATAGAGAATGTCATTTGCATATATAGTTTCCAGCAAAGGATTTAAAAGCAAAAGAACAAATATGTATATGTATGACGGGGTTGTCTCACATACAGCTTTTGCAAAAATATCTCATCTAACGAAGATAGAATGTTCTAAAACATGCTTTCTTTGTTCAACTTGCTCCTGCGCATCACATACATTTTTGTCCTTTTTCATTCATTTTCTCAAACTTCTTTTCCTTCTTTTTGGCCCCAAAGGGGTCCATACCCTTATTTCCTTCTTCATTGCTATTTGCTTACCATCTCTTCTACTCCGTTAATCTGCTCCACACACTTCAACATTGCGTTTGCTTTATGAAAGAAACTGAAAAGAAAACATAAGTTAAAATATTTTGATGAATATAAAAGAAAAAGAAATACGCATTATCGATCAAAATCCAAATATCTTAAATTAACATAAAGTTAAAGTAGTTTATATAAATAAAACTTAACCTTCACTTTATAAATCAATTTTATATAAATGAATTACACTTAAACTCATAATTTAAAGTTGTATCAAAGTTGTCTATTCTAAATCTATTAGTAAGTGACCTCCCCATATTGTCCACACACACTAATAGTGTTGTGCATATTAGATGACTATTCATAAATTAAATTAATATATATAAATAAAGTAATTCTTAGTTAATTAAGATATATAAATATCTTAGGAAAAATAAAAGTAATATATATATTCAAGAGTATTAACACAATCTTCCATAAGTATGAAAAAAGTGATTAAGAACAAGTCTCGCTAACACGAATTAGAAAAAGAAAAGAAAAGAAAAAGTTAAATTGTATTTGGGTTTTCATTTAATTTTTAATTTGTAAGTTTGGTTCTCTTATTTTTAATTTTACAATATAAAAAAAAATCAATAGGTTGGATATATTTTAAATTTTAAATGTCTTTGCATGCATATCGGGCAATTAGATCAAAATTATAATTTTTTTAAAGTTGAGAAGCTAAAACTATATAAATAAAAATAAAAGATCAAAATCATGAATTAAAAATTAAAGGGAGAAAAAAAAAGTAATTTAAACTTAAAAAATATTGGTAATAAAAGACTGGGGTATGTAAAGAATTTGCATTGAGATGCAGTGTTCCTAAAATTTTGAAATAGCAAAGTGTTAAATTATGGAGCAATGGAAGCACATATTCTGTGAAAAACTGAAAATAGAAGTCTTGCCCCTTCATAACAAGTGAGTCTAGTTTGTGCGGTCTCATTCCCGTGTTGTTTAGCTGGCCATGACCTCGCCGAATGAGACATATCTATATCTATATATTATTTTGCACTCATTTATATTTTTATAATATTATTCTTTATACCTTTCATTTTCTTTCTGTATTTTTTTGTTTGTTTTTTCCTAAGGTAGGATGTAATGTAAGACTATCATTATTCATATTTTAAAATAGTGTTGGAGTAATAAAACAATAGGCGTGCGGTACAACCCTAAAATGAATTAGCATTATTAGAATCTAGAAGAGCAACGCTTTAAGAAGGTGGTTCCCCACTCTTT